CATCGTTTCAATTTTCTCCTCAACTCCTCAACCCCAAGCCTTCGGGTTGTAAGAGACTCTTCATGTGAGAAATGCACAGGGAAGAGTTTGAGCTTATAATTATTCTATTTTTGTCTTTCCTTTCCTTTAGTTCTCTTTTTCATTTCTCAATTCCTTTCTTTAGTTTATTACCCCTCCTTGGAACTATCGTCGTGCTCAACCGCGTAGTAACAGAATCCGTCATAGAAAACCTCGGTTTCGACCGAGGAGAGGTATCGTAAACAGCGTTCGCTGCGCAGTTAGCCAGTGCTTCGCATTATAGGGGTCTCCTCAGGTTAACTGCGCAAAAGCGTAAAGATCAATTTATCTTTTAGATTTTCCACCGATACTCTCCTCTCTTTCACGCGTAGGCGCCAGTCGGTCCCAAACCCGATCATAGGTGTGAATCGAATGCTGGAATGGATGTGCGAGATAGCATAGAAATTTGAATATCTGTTTGAATGTGAAGAACGAGGAATGAGAACCCTCACAAGCGAGCGTTCGAGGACTGTTTAGAGCGAAGGGTCGAACGGGGCAATAAAAGTCTTTGTATCGAATTCCGAGAATTTGCCTGAAACTACGGCCCAACGGTAGATTTCAAATAAAAAGAACGTTCTCGAAGACTGCTGGAATACCAGTAAATCACCGAATGCTATTGTAATTTTCACAACTTGCGTTACCAGCGCAATTCACATTGTTGTTCCGTTTCTTTACGAACAATATAATTATGGATAAAGCCGATTGTTAATTAGATATTTCATGACGATCAATCTGCTAATTACATATAAAAGTTAATGTTCATCAATCATAATTTACGTCCAGATTTGAATTGTTAGTCTGCTACAACCTGTTAATCATATCATTTTTATGTTTAATAATGAAATTATCGATGAGGATAGAATATTCCGGAAATTGTACGGCGTAGAAACACCGAAAAGCCGTTAGACAGAGATGAAACACCAGATGAGAGAGAAAGTACGATCTAGAGAAATTCAGCTAGCACGCGCCCTTAGCCAATAGCGACGCACGCGACGCTGTCGTCACGCGCTTTGATTTGTCGAGATGTCCCCACGTAGGACATCGTCCTCGCGACGGGCCCTTCCGGCCAGGATCGCGATCGATTCTGATCACTCTTCGTTGAGCAATCGAGTAAGTCGTGACGGGAGCCCGTGTGTCTAGAGATAGAGTTGCGCCTTTTGTACTTTGTGTAATTTAGCTGCGCGGCAAGTCCTAATCGTAGGCAGAGTGTCGTGAGGGTGAAATTCCAAATACGCGGCAAGGACTCAGAGACGCGCACGTTAAGCCTTTTCACACTTCTAAATTTCTATCTTTTCTCTTTCTTTTTAATCCGTTTGATCGCGTAAATTCCCGAATTAAATTCACGGCGGCGAGATTGAACGGAGCCTCTCGCAAGCGCTCGTCCGTCATGCCGTTCGGATATATATAAGTTCCGAATAGCGGTACGATAGATGTCTGGGGCAAGGATCGTCTGTTGTCAGCCCCACTGACGAGTCTGACAGACGATCCTGAAACGGAACGCCTTTTTCTCTCCTACATATATTAAATTTTTACAAAAATATAATAAATATACAGGGTGTCCCAGAATGGTAGCTGGGGTAATTCTGAACAACTTTTTCCTTTGCGAAAAAGTTGTTTAAAGCTTCGTTTTTGAATTATTAAGCAAAAACACTGACCAATCCAAGCGCGTATAGCGCGCGAGCTCAGGGACGGCAGGGGCTTGACGTAGGTCGCGAACGAACGAAGCTAAATTCAGGAGGAGGAAAGAGCTGACAGCAGCTAGGGAGGCCGAGAAGAACAAATAAATTGAAGAACGGGAGGCAACTAGAATCCTCTCTGGACCATCGTCCTGGAGAAAGGAAATAGATAGGGAGTTGGAAGAGGAAGCAGAGTCAGAAGAGAGAAGACGAGAAAGGATGGATACCCTGAAGAAAAAGGCTTTTGGTCAACACCCCGCAGGGGGTGCTAGTAAAAAATAAAAAAGGCTAGGGAAGCGCGTTTTAAAGTGGAAAAAAAAGTGTTTGGGTTTGTGTTCTTGGAAAACAATGTAGAAATGGAAACTTTATTTTACTGATTTATGAGTGTGTTCTGGTATGGAGGAGTGTATTCACTGTTTACTTTAATTTTTGGTTTGGTTATGTGGGAAATTTTGAGTTATTGAGTCTCACTCTATGGTCTATATATTATAGGTTAGTTTTAGGATTTAAGAGGAACTCTCGCCAATATCCATGGCTGATCACTATACCTGGCAGAGGTCGCGGAGGGACCCCCACGAGCAAAAGGCAAATGGAAAAAAGGGGAAACCTTTTTGAGTTTTTCGAAGGCCCAATAGGTCAGTTTTATGTTTTGCCCCCGGATACCTTTAAATGTCGGTGGTACGGCGGGCCTGGATAAGACTATGGTAATGAATGAATTAGTGGATTTGTGTCTAGAAAATCTGATTTGTGGGAAAAGGTTTGAGACATGTAATTATGGTGTAGTATGGATTTTCCTGCACCTGAGACCTCGAGGGGTAAGGGCGTCGGGCTGGGTTTGTTTCAGGGCGGGACCTCCCCTTATGGCCACTAGTAAAAAAATAAGAGCCAGGGCGATTGTTATGCGATCGAGGAAAAACGTCTGCAGTGATGGAAGAAGCCCCAGTAAGGTTAATTTGTTCTTTTCCTTTTTGATTTTACTAACAATAAGTGTTTGTTATGTTATAAGGAAACCTAGAATAAGGATTACATGTAGATCCATGGAAAAAAAGAATTTATTAAATTTTTATACTTTTTTAGGTAGGTCTAGTTATTACCCTGTAGAAACCTTGACTGAGTTTAAGTTCGACGGGATTTTAGAAGGACGGTCTTGGAAAAATGGAAATAAAAGAGATCAGACGTGGGGTGTAGTAATGAACCACAATGGCTTATATGGACAATGAACAAGGTGCGACGACAGCCGCGGATCGGCGTCGCGCATCGCGGGCCCCCACCGCGGCGGCCTCCCCACTCCCGCGAGCGAGGCTATAAGTAGGATCGATCGACGCGTGGATCAATGAGTTGCCTCGGGGCCTCGGCCCCGAGCAGACCTCTTGGGAGGTCGGACCGGAGCACCGGTAGGCTCGACGTCGCGGTTTGTCCAAGCGAAGAGCTCACCGGCCGTCGGACCGTGACGTACGTCGCGGGCTGGCAGCTCCCAACCGGTCCAGCAGCCGTAGGCGCCTAGTTTCGTCAGCCCCGAGGTTTGTCCCAGGATGACCAAACTAGTGCGCGTCCGTAACATCCGCCGGTTTGACCGCGGGGTTCCGAACGCTAGCTTACACGGCACCGCATCCGGCCTATGGCAATCGATTCCGTCTCGTCCCGAGGTCCGACCCAGGGCGAGCCAGGAATGGTCGTCGCCTCGTTCGCTGCTCGGTTTGACCACGGTGTACGAGAAGACAGCCGCGTTAGGCAAGCGGGCAGCAACTCCACCGCAGCGTGAATTTAAAATAAAGACCGACGGTTCTAAGGGGCCATCTCTTCTCCCAGTCTCCAACGACTCCGCGTTTCACGCGTGCGCCGTAACACCGCGTCTATCTCGTTCGCGTTCGCGCTCTGCTCAGCGCTTTCACTCCGCGCTCCGATTCCGCGCCGTTAGCCAGTAAGACCGCGTACCGACAGCTACGAACCGCGCTAGGTTAAGACCGCGTAACTTCTGTAACGGACCGGGGTCCGCCCGTAGCTTGTAAGTCATGTACACCTAGGCTTAAGTACGACACGGCTCCATCGCCAGCTCATCGCGAGACCATTTTCTGTTGCAGCGAATCCGGCAGGAAATACCGCCACCACTACCGGCATCTCCAGGGGCCGCAGCCGGCGGCCCAACCCTTCCACCGTTATAAATCCACGTTACTTTTTTTCTTGAATAAATATTTCTATTTTTCATACTAACACCTCCTCGTTATTTCTCGAACGTGTTCCCCAGCGAACCCTGGCACGGGGAAACTGACCGCGGTGCGCAACGCCGTGCGCACCGACCAGACCGCCCCGTTACAAAGGTAATATCTGTCTAGGAATTTGGAACGCTAGAAGTATCAGAGGGAAATTTAGGGAGCTTAGGGAATATATCCCTACATTTCATATATTTGGAATTACAGAAACCTGGCTGAAAGTGTCAAACTGTCTGGTAATCCCGGGATTCAACGTTATTAGAAAGGATCTTGGAGAAAACAGACAGGGGGGAGGGATTGCACTGTTAGTTAGGGAAAACATTGATTATATGGAGCGAATGGATATAAATTGGAGGGGAGATGGCAGGGAAGTGATGGGGATAACCGTCAATTTAGATGTAGGGGAAATGGACATTGTGGTGGTATATAGGAGACCGGGGGTACCGTGGGGTAAACAGGATTGGGAAGCTTTAATTGATAGAAACGTCAGGGTTGGGGCTAACACCCTGATAATGGGGGATTTTACTGCCAGGAATAGAATTTGGAATTGTGCGGTAGATAGCAAGGAAGGTAGGCTGCTAGAGGAGGTCTTAACGGAAACGGACCTTTTCGTAATGAATAAGCATACTTTATCAAGAATTGGTATGGGGGGTCGTCCCACGTCCAATCTGGACTTGTTTATAGGGACGCATTCTTTGATGGATAAGGGAATTATTGCCCAAGAGGAGGAAACCCTGGGGTCAGACCACCAGGTTATTTTATTGTATCTGGAAAACTGGAATTTTGGAAATGAAAATGTGTTGGGAGGGAGAAATAGGAAATACAAAGAGAATAAGGTTAACTGGGGGCTATATAATGTTTTCACGGGCGAGGAGGCAGTAATGCTGAAGCAAAAATGGGGGAACGAGGGATGGGAAAGGTGCAATATAAATAAAAGGTGTAGGGAACTAACTGAAGCCCTAGATAGGGCAATAGTAAAAGCAGGAGGAGGCCCCAGGCCAAACGGAGGGGAAAATGCGAATGGAAACCGACCTAGAGTTAGGAGCGGGAGAAATGTAAAAAAGCAGGTATGGTGGGATGGGGAATGTAATGTTGCGAAAGGTAACAGGAGACTAGCCGTAACAAACTTTATTAGAAGACCGACTCAGGAAAGATGGATTGAACTAACAGAATCCGAAAAAGCCATGAAAAATGTAGTTTGTAGCCATAATTAATCGAAAATGCAAGGAAATCTGTTGGAAAGATAGGATTTATTTTAGGAGAGGTTACAAGGTGTAGGATACAGTTTTCCTTTTTATTTATTCGTACAAAACATTTTACAAAGAGCGCCATGTTTATATTTTTCCCGTTCGATAGGCGTCCAGGTATTATCGCCGAACTCTCCATATCGAACGGGCGTTTAGAAAACTAACTCTACTAGGGCGTCCAGGAGATGCTCTGTACTCTCTCGACCGACAGGCGTCCAGGTATTATCGCCGTACTCTCCGTGTCGGTCGAGCGTCCAGGTATTGTCGCCGAACTCTCCTACCGGGATCTCTCTCTCTCTCTTCTCCGGCAGGCGTCCAGGTATTATCGCCGTACTCTCCTGCCGGAGTCCCTAACCGGCTGACCAAGAGCGGCCGATGGTTTTACCTCGTCCTTTCTCTCTGTTAACAGCAGGCGAAGTAAACCGAGGCCGTCGCGAGCCCTTAATTTATATCCGCTCGTTGCTATGCGTGGTCGCCGAAATCAACGATCTCGTCGTCAGGAATCAATTTGGCGTTTTCCGCGCTCGCGTTCCGCGTGTCCGCTCGCGCCTGGCGTCTGTTTCCCGCAATACTCTATCATCGGTTTTCTCGAAATCGTCTGGACGTTTCCAGACTGCGTCGCTTTTGCGAAGTTTCTTTTTACCGCTGTTACAAGTTAAGGAAAAAAAACAAAAGGCATGAGAGACGTTTGCGGAATCGATTGATTGTTTTACTAGTGTGAAAGATGCGTGGCAAAAGATCAAAAGACTAAAGAATGGAATGTCTACAGAGGGGGTAGAAAGTATACGACATGCGGATAGAAAATTATTGGAGGACAGAGAGGTAGAAAAAATTCTGGGCGGGGACTCAGAAGCAGATGGGAACCAGGGGATAGCGGGGGCGGTGGCCACGCAAAGCTCCAGGGAAAAAGGACAGGCGTCCTCGTTGGATAACGAGGTAAACGAAGCCTTTGATCATAGGGAACTAGTGGGATCCTACAAAGCAACAACAAGTCAACAGCCCCAGGAGAGGACGGAGTCACGTACCCCTTCCTTAGGATGGCGTATAAAGAGATGCATGCTTTATTTTTAACCATATACAATTGGATCTGGGAAAATGGTGTTGTCCCGGATAGATGAAAGGAAGTTGTGGTTAGCGTTCTGGACAAACCTGGGAAAAAAGCGGTAAGGCCTATATCCATGATTGACTGTTTAGGAAAGACGTTGGAAAGACTGGTCAAAGGAAGGCTTCAAGAGTGGTCAGAGGAATTAGAAATAGTAGACCCTCATCAGGGCGGCTTTATGAGCGGCAGGTCAACAATGGATAATATTATTACGATTACGACAGATGTGAAGGCAGCTTTTGGAAGAAAAGAGAAGGTACTAGCGGTGTTTGTTGATGCAAAATCGGCTTATGACAATGTCAACCATAAGAAGCTGATTGAGATTTTAAAAAGGAAAAAGTGTCCGAGAACTTTACTAAAATACATCGAAAACTGGTTGACTAACAGGATGGCGACCTGTAGAAGAAGATACGGTGCGGAGGTTAGAGGGAGAATTAGGAGGGATCTCCCACAAGGGTCGGTCCTTAGTCCCCTGCTGTACAATATATATACGGCAGGAATCACGAGTGGGATAAATCAGGAGGAGGTGAAGGATCTCCTGTACGCGGATGACATTATTCCCTACATAATAGGTGGAACTAAATCCAGGAGAGAAATCATCTTGAATCGGGCTCTGGACGTTTTATTAAGAAACCTGAGGAAATTAGACTTGGATTTGGCGGTGGAAAAGACACAGTTGATTAATTTCTCGAGAAATAGACTGAGGGGGATAAGGGGTTGCAACATATGGATTGAGGAAAATAGAATAGAAAATTGTAACGAAGTAAAATTCTTGTGCGTTATCTTACAAGACGAAAGCCTATCCTTTGGGAAACAGGTGGATTACGTCTGTACCAAAGTTAAAAAAAGACTGGACCTGCTGAGATATGTAGCAGGAATCAAAAAAGGAGTAGAACCAAACACCATGATAGTTTTTTTCAAGGGTTTGATACGTTCCGTGTTGGAATATGGGATTATAGCGTACTTTTGGGAAAATAAAAAGGGAATGGAAAAGTTAATAAAACTGCATAATGCTGGAATAAGAATGGCTATGGGTTATAGGATCACAACACCGATAAATGTGATGAATGTAGAGTCGGGTATCATGGACCTGGAAACTAGAGTCGAAGCCCTGGTGGAGAGGTTTTTCCTCAAACCCAGGATTAAGGGTTGAGGAATGGTATGGGATAGCATATCCACGTCCCTGATTGTCCGGGATAAGGAGAGGTTAGAAAATATGGAACCTTGGATAGGGGCGTGGTACAGATTGGAAGGAATAATTCATAGGATGAAAAAGGGTGATCTTAAAAGAAAGGAATGGATAAAACTGGGAAACTTAGTGCAGGAGGAGAGATTTAGGATAGAATGGGAGATGGGTAAAATTAGAAAGAAAACGGAGATAAATGATAGAGGACTCATGAGGGAAATCAAGGGGAAGCTTTGGGGTTGGCAAGATAATCAACAAGTCATAGAGATTTACACGGATGGGGCTAAGAAGCAGGGAGCGGAGGCGGTGGGAGCGGGTATATATGTAAGGATGGGGGAGGGAATCTGGGAGGATAGAAATTGGGCGCTTCACAAGGCCACCTCAGTCTTCTCAGCTGAAGCTTTCGCAATTCTTCAGGCAATGAAGTATGCTAATAGTCCGTTAATGGATTGTAAAGTGTGAATAACCACTGACTCTGCCAGCGTTCTGGAAAAAATGAGTAATATTGCAAACAGGGTGTGCGATAGCCCGTGGATTCTCGAAATTCTAAAAGAAATTGAGGTTTCTGAAGCGGAAAGAGAAAATAATGAGGATAAGGGAAACAGGGAGGCTTACAGAAGAAATAGGGTGGGTTTCGCCTGAATCCCAGACCACGTTGGGATAGAGGGAAATGAGAGGGCGGATTTACAGGCGGGAGAAGCAACAAGAGGGGAGAAAGAATACGAGTATGAAATTTCGGAAAGGGATTCGAGAAACTATATCATGGAAGGGGCGTGGACAAGGTTTACAGAAAGAGCATGTAGAATAGGCGAGTGTAAGGGTACAAAGTATTTTAGAAGTGAGAAAAACAACATAGGGAATAGAAAACCATGGTTTAGTAAAATCAAAGGGGCAGAGAGGGCTTTTTTGACTAGGATCAGTAGGTTGAGGGCTAACCATAAGGGAGTCTTTTTTTAGGAAGAATTTGGTAAATAGCAAGGCTTGCCCTTATTAGCTGACATATTATCTGCATGTTGCTCACTGCTTTCAGTGACATCCTCATCATGTTTGTCGACAACTTCTGCCTTAATTGCTGGTGTATCATTTCCATGCGTATCAGGCAATATATCCTCTGTATCGGCCACACTACAAAATAATATTTCAAATGGACAAATACAATACAGTGAAGTAATGAATATACCACAAATTTCAACAATGCACTACTGATGTACTGTAATTGGTACCTTTCTTTCACTTCATTGAAAAACAGTGTTGGCACAGCACCTGCTTTTAGCCGACTAGGTGCAAATCCATTTGTCAGAATGCAATGTACTTCAAAATGTAAACTGCATATGCTACTGTGTTTTACTATATTATCTTGACTACAACCCCAATTTACAATGACTTCTATCCACTTACTTTGAAAGGAAGAGTTTTTCGGAAACCTGTTAAATAACATCAATTAGCTTAACTACTATGTTAATATGCAAATATGTAATACTGCAAAACACAGTTGAATGTAACAAAAAATTTATGCGTTGAACATAAATAATTTCGACTGTTATTTTTACATACGACTCACTGGAGTTGTGAATGTTGTAGGTTATGAACCAGATAAACTACTTATTTACCTAAAAAATGTTGTAGCCCGAGTTTTATTCCCGTTCGCTTTTCTACAGGGAGATTCTCTCGGCGCGCAACACAATAGCCGCCCCGCACAATGGAACCCTGCTCTGTTTGCGGGCAAAAAGCCCAGAAGGTCAAGTCGCCGGACCCAAGACTGCTCTGTGCGTCTTGGGTCCGGCAACGTGACCTCCTGGGCCTTTTGCCCGCGAACACAGCAGGGTTCCATTGTGCGGGGCGGCTATTGCGTTGCGCGCTGAAAGAATCTCCCTGTATAATCCGTGGATTTGCAACTTCTGATGCAGCAATAACGCGTCATTATAATATTACATCAATCCTCAATCTTTCACGCGTTGTACTTCCGTAACAAAGCCAAGAGTCAGTGCTTTTTCACTAGACGAACGGACACTTCGGGCCGTATTCACAGTCGCAACTTAAGCAAAGACTTAAGACGTTCTTGACTAAGATCGTCTTATTCGAATAAGCTTAGAAATAAGTTGCGACTGTGAATACGGGCCCTTATGAACTACATGAAGCTAGCCGGAAGGAATAATAAAATATAATTATTTTTAATTTTTCTTAGTGTATTTCGTTTGTAAATCGTTTGTGATTGATTGTTAGTCTATTTTTAACGTTTGTGACAAATTAGTTCTTTTGTAGTTAGCAATTTTATTTCAGTCATGATGTGAGCCGAAATTTTTTAGTAATTTTTTATAATAAACAGATTTTGTGATAACTGATAAATGTAATTGATTGGAAATCGTTTGTGATTTACAAATATATCAGTTTCATTGCTTGTGAGTGAATAATTTCCTAATTATTTACAAAGTTTTATAATAAATAATTGTAGTGCGCATGCGCAAAATATACTCAGGACTCTTGCCAACAGAGAGCGTATCGGCGCGTTACGCTGTGGAGAACTTATTCCGTATTTAAAATGAATGATCAACGCTTCAATTGTGAAAATATATATTTGGAAATATTGATGTAAAGGAGGATACGTCTTTTTGCTTGAATTGATCTTTTAGGAATGAATAGTTACAAAAGTTATTCCAATTTGTTTTTAAAATAATAAATGAACAATAAACGTAGTTATGAAAAGGTGGCGGTGAGAATTCGACATCAGTTGTAATCTTCCTTATCGACGACGGCCAGCTGCAATCTTCCTTATCGACAACGGCCGCCACAACGCATAGCGGAAAAAAGTGTAAACTATTTGAAATGCCTACGTCATTGACTCTGGGAGAGAATGAATACAGATTAACAGGAATTGCACCATATTTACCAAATCATTATTTAGCTTATTGTTGCAGAACAACGAATCGATGGGAAGTATAGAATGATCTTTCAAAAAGCGTTCAATCATGTTCATCTCATCAGGATATTGAGCCACGTGCCGCAATTGATATCATAAAAAGTAAAAATCAATAATTTTTAAATGATTTCATATATTTTTATCCGACTTCGAAAAGGAGGAGGATACTTAATTCGATCAGTATATTTTTTTTTCTGCATCTTGTAGAGTATGTCTTCCGATTGGTCCCGTTAAAAAAATATTTTGCATTTTTCCATTTCGAACGGTTTTTATTGCAAAAAAATGGGAAGTTTCTAATCTCAACATAGAATGATTTCAATGATCCTTTAATATATTGTCGGGGGCATGATTCTGAACATCTTTTTCAGTATGCATAATTAACGGAAAGCTTTAGTTTTCGAGATATTCGTGAAAAACTATTGTTATTTTTTCTGCACTTGTTCGCCGATTACTCCGACACAGACGGACCAATCGGAACGAAACCTTTTGCATCCTCTAAAGTATGTCTCCCGATTGGTCCCGTTAAAGAAACATTTTATATTATTTCATTCCGAATGGTTTTTATTGCAAAAAAACGTACTATTTCATGTACGTTCGGCATATGTTCACCGATTACTCCGAGACGGATGGACCAATCGGAGCAAAACTTTTTGCATCTTGTAGAGTATTACTCCCTATTGGTCCCGTTAAAAAAATATTTTGCATTTTTTCATTGCCAAGGATTATTATTGCAAAAAATAGAAAGTTTCTAATTTCAATATAGGTTGGTTTCAATGACCCTTTAATATGTTGTCGGGGGCATGATGCGGAAGAACTTTTTTATTATGCATAATCAACTGAAAGTTTTAGTTTACGAGATATTCATGAAAAACTATTGTTACTACTACATTGAATTCTACGTATGCCTACGTGTATTCTACTGCCTACTCTGGCGGTGTATGGGTCAGCATGCAGTCGCCTGTCTCTACTGTTGATCAAATATACCATAAATGCTTCTGACTGAGAATCATTGAACTATTCTTATGTCTATTTTACGTCTGATGCGTGCAAATCGATTTTACGTCTTCCAGAAGTGATAAATTGTGAAAAATCGAATTTCAGTGATATTGTGCTAGTTCAAAGAAGGTCGGTCTGGTGTGCTATCGGTGAAAAAAACCATTAAATCGTCCAATATTTGCTAAAATGCAGCCGAATGCAGCATTCGGCAGCCATGTTGTTTGCTTACAACAGCGTCTGTCTCAATCTTACAATTTCGAAAATACGATTTTACTCAACGTATGGTGTTTATTAGCGTTCAATCGGACTAGACTGACCTGTACCGAAGTCTACCCGTGTGTGCTGTACCTGCGAAAATTTTATTTATGCAATTATCGAGACGAAAAATCGATTCTACGAAATTGAGTGTCTCTCTCGCGCATGGCGTATACGTGCATGCTTTCCATTGATTGTGTGAGTGCATGCATACAGGTCATGGCATAAGGAGTCTGTGCCCTTAATTCCTATTTCCTACTTAATGTATAAAAGTGAAAATGTCTGATTGTTTGTTTCTCTTTCACGTTTAAACGGCTAAACGGATTTTAATGAAATTTGCACTGTTGGGCAGCTTATTCTTTCAAGATGGACATAGGCTATGTCATATTGCAATTCGTTATGTTTTTGACTAACAAAGAAGCATTAAAGAATTGGTTTGGTAATACTCGGCATTGCAACCTAGACCCCATCAGTATACTACATTCATAATATACATTTATCAGTTTTTTGTTTTTCTTTGGCATTCGTTTTCTTATTCATGTCGTATTAGATGACACAGAAATATTTGTCATTAAAAAAAAACTGCGTCTTGCATTTAATAGTATTTCTGTTTGTATTAAAGTGTGTTTTAGCTGATTTTTTTTCCATTTTTAACATTCAATTTAAAATGAACTGTTGGCGAATTTACGAAAGTACTGTTTAATTGTTGGGACGTTACGAAAACGCCGTCGAACACTCTCCAAACGTCACTGCTGTTAGTCTATCGAAATATGACTCTCTCCCCACCTATGATCGTCACCTTCCTACCCAGATAGCACAGAGACATCGTTAAAACGTCTTAAATATATCTGTCCCAGATATTCAGATGTCTTATGGACGATTGAAAATCCTGCTAATGCCTGAAATACGTCTTGTAAACATCCTATGTTAGAAAACAGGATGTCTTAAAGACGTCGTACGAATGTCACAGAGACGTCGTTAAAACATCTTAAAGATATCTATTCCAGATATTCAGATACGACGTTCCTTTCGTACGTTCTTAAGACGTCTTAAAGACATGAAATTATTTGAATTCAATTCAAAAACCGCGTCACTAAGTAAGAAATAATGCTACATTTTCAAGAATCATTTTCATTGGTTGTTACAGCAGAAAATCGACGGAAATAGTTGAACGTCAAATAAGCATTGCTTAAGCATGGACTTCACTAAGCAAAGCTTAAGCATCGCTTCCTCAACTAAGTCGGTCTTATCCGCCGACTGTGAATACATAGCGACTTAAGCATTGCTTATTCGAATAAGACGATCTTAGTCAAGAACGTCTTAAGTCCTTGCTTAAGTTGCGACTCTGAATACGGCCCTTAGTGATCAGGAGCTGTATACTTGCGGAATCGCTGTCCTTAATCTTTTGTCCTTTGTTCTTTGTAAACGCTCAAGAGAAGTACTCGTGTAAAACATTTTCAATCCAATTTATTGTTCTTGTTCCAATACATTAAACTTAAAGTTAATCGTTATTAAAAGTTTAGTTCATTTTAAATAGTTAAAAATTAGTTTTCTTTTCTTTTACATAATTCACGTGAGCAGAGTGCTTTAGCGCTCCACGGGCGGCTTACCCACGTTCCTTAGATTAAAAAAATCCCTAAGTAAATCATCGTTAGCAACGCTCATTAATTCTATCCATGACTAACATTTGATAACGAAAAACCGATTCTCTTCTACTGATCGAGCTGTATAATAAGGAGTCCTTTATAACAAAATACTGTTCTTCGTTTACAATTTAAATTTGACGCACTTCAGCCACCACATTCAACTTTCCTTACAACCTAGTTCATAATTTATACAGCCTGGTTCATAATACGTTTCGCATCTATATTGCATTAAACCAGCGAGGATCGCAACAGTAACGCGCCGATACGCTCTTTGTTGGCAAGAATCCCGAGTATATTTTGCGCATGCGCACTACAATTATTTATTATAAAACAAACTTGTAGATAATTAAGAAATTATTCACTCGCAAACAATGAAAATGATATATTTGTAAATCGCAAACGATTTCCAATCAATTACAGTTATCAGTTATCACAAAATCTGTTTATTATAATGTAACGTGAAACGTTATCACGTGAATATGTTTAGAGTGGTATGGCGACACTTCCATGGGAATATTTATCGATAGTCTATTGTATCGATATGTCTCGAATGTTCTTTGAGGACCTTTTGTGTCCTTTTGTATCGATGGTTATAAATTAAGAGCGGAGTTTAAACCATTTCTGCGTGTACACTCATATATAAAATAAACAAAGCCTAAATTGTAATCCCCTCGACGTGGGTGATCGAGCTGAGAGAAGGCCGGAAATCCAGAGAACGGAATAGTTTCACTTCTAAAATTCCTGAACGACTAATTTATGATAGACCATAGCCAATTCGTTGTTTTCGACCAAGTCACGAACGGTCCTTAAAAGCTACGAAGTCTTTTCCGATATCCTGTCTTTTCATACACTCTAAGAGGGTCGTAAATTTCCTCGAGAGTTGCCTTTGGCAAGAAGTACAAGGTCTTGTCGTTTCCTATTTTCTCTGGGTCCCACGCTTTCTCGTAGCACATGTGCGCTGCAACGTTCTAGCGTCTTGGCGGAGCGCATCCACTTCCACGCGCCTGAAGATGGACCACAGCCAGGAGAAGGGACCCACACGAGACGGGGTGGACTCCTCCACCATTGGACGAGGGATGATCCTGAGGGAGGATCCAGGATCCACGAAGGAAGGGGCATCGACGGACAACGCGCGAAGATCTCCTCCGCCAAGCGCAGAACCGGCAGAATGATTTTGTCAGTCAGAATAGACAGATCATTCTCATGCTCTAAATTTAACGCATTATAAACACAAAGTTACAAGTCAGCCTAAATAAAGGTTTAAAATATTAAAGCACAGTAAACAATAATAATAGTTTATTATTTTCATTTTCGTGCCTTGCGAACGACATGTGCCTTAATTTCCCCAAATATCTCTATTTTCCGCGAACGGACACGCAACAACTGAAATAAAATTGCTAATCACAAAAGAACTAATTTATCACAAACGTTAAAAATAGACTCACAATCAATCACAACCGATTTACAAACGAAATACACTAAGAAAAATTAAAAATAATTATATTTTATTATTTCTTCCGGCTATCTTCATGTAGGTGGATCTGTAGTCACTGCTACAATTTTACATATATTTATTGCATGGAACCGAGCGGCCTGTGTCGTACCAACCTTACTTTTGTCTCTCTTGTTCTTGGAATCACTCGTTAATTTTCAAAAACATTCTACAGGTCAAAGTTCAAGGAACCAAACGGTGTTTTTTTCAAATTGGTTCTATGGAATGTGTATTTGTGTATATACATACAAATGTAGTAATGCGTATGTGGCAAAGTGTGTAAGTAAATACATTGGAAAGGTTATGCTATAACTTCCAATATTAATTCTATAAAAAACAATACATTACAATGACAATCATAAGTATGGATATACTATGTTCAAATTTTAATGATAATCATAAAGAATAACACTCGCAATTGTATATTTAAAACAAATTATTTCAGTTTAAAACAAATGCAGTTAGTAGATATTTATTATTAGAGTAATAAATTATTAAAATGACTGAAAAGTCTGGGTGTGGCGAATTACAACAACTAGTACAGGAAGAAGAATGTGAGGAACCATTAAGTCAAGGTGGAGAAGCTACTCCGCCTTCTACTCCAGCAAAATGTTATCATCCAAATAAAAATGATACTCATAGTTCTCACGTATCGGTATGAATTAAATATTATTTATTCAACTTTGTTGATATGATATAAATGGTTTATAATGAAATTTTAAAAACAATATTTTTAATTTTAAAGCATATGAATTTAAGACTTATATTAGTTTAAATAAAAAATAATAATATGAATTTTGAAAAGTGACAATAAAGATAAGAATAAAAAAAGAATACTCTATATATGTAAAAAAAGAAACAGTTTCTAAGAAAAAATGTATGTTATTTTAGCAACAAGTATTATGGGAACCTAATGTACAAACATCGCCTATGGTTAGTAAAGGAAGTTCTGGTCAAGCAACAAGTCAAGGATCTATGATTTCTGGCCGTGCTGTGAACCTCTCAAATCATGGAAATCAATCACGTTTAATTTTCATGAATGAAAAAGAAAAACAAAAACCAAGTCGACCAGAGCTATCAAAACTGAATCGTCAACACAAAGGTAATTTTATGTGTTGCAACAATATTTTCAAAATTTTATTTAAAATATTCTTGTTCTTGAAAAGTGAAATCTCACATACAAACCTTTTTTATCATAACTTTATTTTCATAGAGAATCATACCTGTTCAATTCTTATTACAGCTACTCTGTCATCACAGATGTATAGTCACTATTATTATTGTTAGTATATTATCTTCTGATAAATTATAATTTTTATGTTTTTATTACATTTTTTGGTTGTTTTGGTGTCATAAAATAAAGCCTTGACGCCATGCAAACATCATTGCTTTTTGTCAGAGGTTCCTGATGTCCGCCACATGGAACAAGCTTTATTACAACTGTTGGAAGATTTTCATAGTGGCAATTTACGAGCATTTGGTACGCTAAATGTATTTTTATGCCACATGTATTATAATAACAACTGGATTCTAAAATAAAAAAAATTCAATTCAGGAAAAGATTGTAGTATGGAACAGATGACAGAAATACGAGAACAACAAGAACGACTGGCTAGGCTTCACTTTGAATTAGTACAGAGACAAGATATTGGAGGGGAACAGTCAGGTCTTCGACATTCAAGTGCTAATATGCATCATTTGTTGCATCGCCTTCAACAACTCAGTGTTTGTATTGAAAAATTACATAGTAAGTGATTTTAAAGTACATGTAAAGTGTACAAAAATTATTTAAACAAAGTATTTAAATAAAAGTATAAATTTATATTTTATAAAAGATTTAAATTTTAGAAGCTTCTTGTGACACTGTTTTTACATAATTCAATATTTAAATCGTAATTATTTAGTTTTGAAGATATTTGCGAAAAGCTTTTGGTATTACTGCAGGGAATTCGGCCTATGCGCGAGCGTCGCATAGTGGGTCAAAACGGCTTCGGCGATCAAAAATCTGTAACTTCGGTTCTATTGGAAATATTTTAATGAAATTTTGGGAAGTTTTTGCCTATATTATGGTACTTAAGTTGTACCAATATAAATCATACTGAACTACAGGGTGTCAAAATATTCACGTATAAAATGTAACGCGTTCAATATCCTTCACTTGTTAGACATATTTTATGTTATTTAACAAAAATTTGATTCAAAACTGTTAATAACTATAAGAGAAACGGATTTAATAATTAAAAAATGCCAAGACATGTGTTATTATAATATATTTATTTATATTTATTATGATCTATACCAAATCATTCGTGAAAACAATTTCGACAATTATGAAAGATTATTATGGCATATTGCAAGGACGAAATAAAGTTTTGGATGACGAATATACACGTGGAATGCAGTTAACTGATTAATAATCGTATCTGGTACTGTTTTTTTTGCCAAGATGGGTGTAATTTCATTCAATCGCCATTTTCTTGAACGGGGGCAAGTAGGGGCAACCAATTTTTTTTGATTCTGATAGAGGAAGGTTCACTCTTTACTACAGTAATAATCAAATCCCACGCAAGTTGCGGCATTTTTTTAAAATCAAACACAAAGTTAAGATTTTAGTTAAATGTACTTCGTTTCAATCAGATCCTATTATTTAAAAAGTTGTTAACATTTTAACTTACTTTATGCACTGAATAGAATCTATACTAATCTAGTAAACTTTATAATTCATTTGAATTTTATCTTTCCGAGTAAAGTTTTTTAAATTCGTACATTGAAGTTACGGGTAATATCATCAGCGTTTCGTGCTGACGAATTTCTACTGACTTTGAGTGCGAAACCACAGAAAACCGGAAGCAAATATAAAAAAACAGATTACACTACGTTAAACTACAGTTTATTCTCTATCCATGTACGCAAATAGTTTTTCAATTTTCGAATTCACGAAAATCGACTTTTGATCGCCGAAAGCCGTTTTGTCCCACTGTGCGTCGCGTCGGTGAGAGCGCTCGGCGTTCGTATTGGTGAGCGGTAGCCGACCGCTTATCTTTTGTTTAGACACGGGGAACCGAGTGGTTCCACTACATGGTGGCCCAGAAATATCTATTCTAGTATATATCAGCTGTATGTAAATATCAATCATAGTGTCCGTTCGTCTAGTGCAGGGGTCGGCAAACTTTTGAGAGAGAAGAGCCAAATTGTCGAGGAAAACAGGATAACGAAGGTATCAAAGAGCCATATATATACATATGGATACCCCCCCCCCCCACCGGTGGCAGTCATAACCCAAAATGAAGAGCCATATGCTAAGGGCCACATGCGGCTCGCGATCGGCGGTCTGCCGATCCCTACTTTTGGTAATTAGTATATTTCTAGGCCAGTGGTCGACAAACTCATTAGTTAACAGAGCCAAATGTCAAAAATACAACGATTGAGATTTCTATTCAGGGTCTAATTTCTTAAACTTAAGCTATATAGGTAGGTACTCTGTTTATTAACTTAATAAACTTTAGTTGAAGTTTTGAATCTTAATTAAATTATAAGTACACTGAATAAAACTTGATATCATGCTTAATAATGATCTTATTTATTCATAGAAATTAAATTGTAAGTAAGGTATCCATAAAATTAAATTATGACAATGACTGACAGTGACAACACTTAATGTGAACAATGGCCTTGCATCTCCTTCGAAAGTTTGGGTAAGTTAGGTTTGTATGTTGTTGTTTTTAATTTTAGGCACGATTCCAGGTTCTCATCAGTAAGTCGACTTCTTAATTTACTCTTGATGAGGTTCATGTTCGAGAAAGATTGTTCGCATGAATATGTAGAACCGAAAAGAGAAAGAACATCAAACGCTAGTTTTTTCAACTGATCAAATGAGTCAGGAATACTGTTCCAGGTGTTAAAAATTATCATATCTTCCTTCTCCCGGTCTCTCAAAGCAGACCACTTCTGCTGTGAACTAAGTTCACATTTGTTTTTCTCTAATATTTCCAAATCAGCACAAAGACGTTCAAATTTAGAGCTCCATAATTCTTTGTTTTTTAAATCCAGCAATTGCATTTCAAAGTTGCCAATGTCAACATCAAAGGGAGAAAAGTTTAATTCTGTTACAATAGCATTAAGAGGATTTTTAACAAAGGCTAACGTCGCTTTGCTGTTTCTGAATTCCTGAAACCTACTCAGAAAAGCCTCCCTCATATTTAAGATTGTTATTTTGAAATAGCAAATATCAATATCAGAATTATTTTCTTGGTGATGTTTCCGCAGGCTTGGAAAATGAATCAAAGTTTCCCTTTCAAAACCTTGAGCAAAAAGGGATAATTTGTTTTCGAATGAAATAACTTCTTCTAACATCGAAAAAATTGTATTTCCTTTCCCCTGTAGTTTACGATTAAGCTGATTTAGATGAAATGTAACGTCTACATTAAATACAGAACTTGATTTTTCTTCACTTTTTAGAAGTTCCTCAATTGCTTAAATACAGAACTTGATTTTTCTTGACTTTTTAGAAGTTTCTCAATTGCTTTGTTCCTTGCATCACCGACAGGATATTTAGTGATAAATGACTCGTGTTTAGTTATAAAGTGTCTCTCCAAATTTGACTTCTTATTATGCGCCAATTTTTTTTTACAAATAAGACAGGTCGGAACGCCATTTAAGTTTTTAATAAACGCAAAAGTCTCGTTCCATTCAACTTGAAATTCACGGTTCCTGTCCTTCATTTTTATTTGCTTCCTCTTTGTAGCCATGTCAAATGGGTAGCACCTGTAGAATTTGCAACTTGCTTGAAAAATACAACTAACTTTATACTTCGAGTATGCAACTAGCACTGACAATTGTATGGAACGCTACAAAACCTTGCGTGAACTAACGCGATGTGTCCAGCTGGCGCTATCGAGTGTACAATAAAATCTCTCTAGTTGTTCGTAAGCTGAGAAACGAAAATGGACATGTAGGCAGGATAGACACGATTTTTCGAGCTTCGCGGCTGCTTTTAATCCCCGGCGACAAGTCGTAAAAGAGAAGAATAGCACGAGAGCAGTAGCAGACAATAAATTAACAACAGTTTAACTTTCTTATTTTCAGAATTTTCTAGATGCAAATTGTGTTGCATATTGGTACAATTTTTCTGATTAAAATGAGACCAGATATGACAAAATTTGGACTATATGGACGAAAAAAAAAATTCGCACTGGATGTTCCGTTGTACATAAAATAAAGTAAAAATGCTCCAAGTTATGTCGTGTTTGGTTTCATTTTGATCAGAAGAGTTTGGCCAATATGTTTAAAAAATCCGTAGGTAAAAAGAATTAATATTAAAAAAGTTACAGTGCTTTATTATGAACTACCAAACTCTACCTCTCATCAAAGATGCCGCGACGTGTGTCGCGTGACTGACTCGAATAAACAAAACATAGGCGTCGAATAAGAAATACATAGGTGTAGGACAAAACCGACGAACACTGTCAGCAGGGAAACAAACGAAGAACTAGAGAGATTTTACTGCGCGGCGCGATATTTGAAGCACCAAGTGAGAGCTGACATAGCGTATACGCGATATTAACCACCATTAGCGCCTGCACGTGGTCATTTGCAGAAGAGCCACACTCGAGGGGCCAAAGAGCCACATGTGGCTCGCGAGCCACGGTTTGCCGACCACTGGTCTAGTGTATTTTGTAATTTCAAATAAATTATTGAAATTCTAAATTATTGAATATTCTAAAGCTTTCATCAGATGATTATGATAATTATTTTAATGCTTTTATTAAATAATTACATTTATGATATTTGCTGCGGTTAAACTTGAACTCCAAAGTCAGTGCTTTTTCACTAGACGAACGGACACTATGCAGTGACTACAACATGCCTTTGTTACCGATGGGGCGTCATTATTGGAGTACCCGGTATCCCAAGGCATCGACGAGATACTGTTAAAGACTGCCAACCCCTGTGTTAAAGTTCGGCACGCCAAGTGGGCCCAGTGGGCCTGGGGTACGATCGGTAAATAGGAATGATGGATAATGTAGAATAGTGATATTACCCAGTGTACCGCCGCAAAAAACTGTTATACCACCAACGAGATGATTTAGCTTTGCCACAGTACAATAATTATCTCGTCGGTGCTGCTTGGAAAACAATTATATTTAACCTTATAATTGGATTACATTTTTATTGTAATAAACGATACTACATAAATATATGAAAAATAAGAATATTTGGTACGTAACATTCTGAAAAAAATAGAAGAATTGAATAAAAAATAATTCGAAAATTACTGTTATATTTATAAAATGATTCTTGAACCAAAAATATCATTTAACTGTTAACAGAGACTCGTCTCTTAGCAGACTGTTAACAGGTGGGCATTTTTACCTTTCTCACAGGTAGCGGAAGTAGGCATTTTTAACACAGAATGACATACTAGTATTCCCTTATTCTGCCATGTGGTGAACAGAGTCGAACGTCCCAATCGTTTAAAAGCTTGCGTCCTTGCATACCCGCGCTGACAGTGGCGCACTCAAGGGGGGCTAAGGGGCTCTAGCATCCCTCAAAGAAAAAGGAAGGAGAACAACAGAAAATTTTCCAAAATCTGTTCCTAATTAAAGTAGTGTTACTGTTTATGTAACATATTAATATCACTGTTTTTTGTATTAAAAATATTTTTATTCGTTCAACTTAGCTCCCTCCAAGAATAAATCCTGAGTGCTTCATTGTCCGCACATACCCCATCATGGTCTATCATTGACTGTCCTTTCTTTTTCAAAGTTTTATGGCAAGACTTTATAACAGAAAACAGACCCCGAATATTCTGAAAGGTCGCAGACTATGTCAAGCAATAGACAAATTTGTATATACTATTGTGGTAATTTTAGATATTTATTTTTTCGTGGAATACAAATCTAACACTGAAAATACCGCGACTTACAACTTTTACAACTTTTGCTATCAATCGCACCGTGTGTTGCTCGACTCACAATCAAACATGGAATAAAGTTAAAAATAAAAAAGTTTCATCGTTGAATTACTATTAGTCACACCGATATTACGGTTCGGATCATATTACACGGCTTCCTGGTCAAGCGTGTCGGTTCGCCTAGGAGGGTCCCCCCAAGTGGAGAGGTATAGTACGTTTGCAGTGTTGCCACATCTGTTTCCATATGCATGGCAATTGGTGTTCGCACTTCACACAATCATATATCTGCTTTCATCCGTGTACGCTGCCGCTTCGGTGCTTTCCACCAACAATTCACGTATTCTGACGCGAGTCCCGAGTAATCTGACAGTCACAACCAGAAGATCGAGTTCGAATCCCACAGGAACAATTTTATTTCTTATTCTTAATTAATTCGTAATTGTACTTTACAAATGTTTAGATGTTACAAAATTCGGTGAACCTGCATTACAATTACCTCCTCTTCGATTTAGATGAGTTTTGGATATGTTATAGAAATCGATATTTTGAACAATTTTTCCTTGTACATATAAACGGCGGCCCTGCTTAGTTAGTATCCGAGATATTCGTGAAAAATTTTCGATAGTAACACATTGAATTCTGTGACAGCACATTTCTGTTTAGAAACGAGAGTCTAGGGAACGTAATGGCTCTGTTTACAGCTGCACATACGAGACTTCAAAAAATGTCTATTAAAACTCAATTAAAAATGAATATTATTGATATATTAGGAAATTTATTAAGCAATTCTAAGAAATGAACAAAAGCAATTAAAAATACATATTATACATTATGTGTCCGAAAAAAAGCGATATTTTTGGACGAAATTACTACTTTTTACTTCTTTGACGAGTTTCTACTACAGTGAATTCTGCCTCTATGCGTCTGTAGCAACAAGTGCGACGGCCGCTTGCTTACTGTTTCTGCAAACAGCAGCACTAGACTCATCAACTCCTTATATATATATGAACGTAAAAGTCAAACTTTACAGATTTCAATATGTTGTAGTCTTTAGTTGAATTCAAAGAAAAATAAAGTTTATTCAAAAGTATAATGCACCAGATAAGGCCAACGCATCATTCGCCTGGTCGCTATTCTCTCTCATTCTCTCACTCATTCCTTCTCGCTCTCTCCTCGTCCAACCTATCACTCGCTTCATTTCAAATACATTCACTCGCCCATTCGTCATTTCATACTCTCGCCATTTCTCTCTCTCGTTCAATCCCTCTCTCTCTGTCACAGTCACTACTCCCGTACAAATTGAAATCTTAATACTTAAATCTTATAAATCTTTTACCAGGATATTTGTAACATTTTTCTGATTAAAATGACATCAAACGCGATATAATTTGGACTATATTTACAAGTTGACGATAATAAGTATCGAACACGGGGAAGGATGGCGAATGAAAAACGAAGAGAATCCGCGATCGTAACAATCCGCAGTCCTTTTTCCATTCGCTGTCCTTTTCTAACAATGTAAGAAGTTTATGTTTATTTGTTTCTAGCGTTACGTTCTTCCAGTTCACGTCAGTCTAAAGAACTTATGCAAGCGGTGCAAACGTGTAATATACAAATTTGTAACCGCTTTCAGTGTTCAAAAAATGGTATTTCGTGATACGCGCGCTAGATATGAAAAATGTGTTTATCGCGGTTGAGGTGTTACGTCGCGTCCCAGTTGCAGACAATGATCGGGTAATACAGTGGATCGTGAATAATGGAAACGACGATTTCGCGCATTTAACTGATCTCCAATTGAAACACCGGTATATTTGTTCAAGGCATTTTGCCGAAAAAGACAAGGTGGTGCAACTGAAATTGAAGAAGGATGCCGTACCGGTATTGTATGATTTGGGTGAGGAGAATGAAGAGCCTAGGTGTAACAGTCGTAAGCATTCACTCAAATTCCTTTGTAGATTGTTCGAGTTTTTGCGTGGTCAGAGCGGGCTGAGTGAGACACGAGCGTGTAACAGTAACAACACTTAATTTATTGAACACAATGATATTTACAAGCGAAGGTATTTACAACAGTTCATAAACGAGTTCTGAGCTGACACACAAAAGTTCACAATGAACACGTAAAACTGTACAATAACTAAGAATTAAATATAAGTGTTTATAATTATAACAAAGTGTAACTAACTGGATAAATGGCGCGGACTAACAAGGAAAGGCCGCGAAGTGTCCCCCTTCGATTTTGATGAAACTTTGTACATTTGTTAAGCAGGTAAAAATAAGGGACACGTATTTTTTTATATCGGCTGAGACGCGACTTTAAGGGGTGAAACCACCCCTCAAAGTTTCGACTTGAAACTGCTATCTCCAAAACCAAAGAAGATACGTGAAAACTTCTAATGGGCGGATTTAATGGTTTTTTATGTACAATAATATGGCGTTAACAGATTGTCGAAAATACCATTTGTTTATAACAAAAAAAAGTTTATAACATTATTTTACAACTTATTTAAATTTATGTAATGAACAAAAATGTAGAGCATTTTATTCCAAATCCATTGATATATAAGAAATCCGAAAATAACGGTTTTTGATTTTTGTAAGTACGCTGCACTACACCTAAAAATCTGAAAAAAATTCGAGATAATAGTCATGCTAATATCTAACTACTGTGAAAGTAAAAATCTAGTCGCTCGAAAGCTTCTATCCGAAATCTCAATTTTTCGACTTTTTTTTGCGTTTTTGATTCTTCACGCCTAGGATTTGCAACCGAAAAATCTGAAAAAATTCACAATCATAAAGAAGCATGTCTAGAACATTTTAGAATTTTTTCCGATTTTTTCATAATGTTAAATAGGAGATATATGGCAAATACTACTTTTTCTTTCTTACCCTGTAACTACTCTCCCGGTTGAGGTACAGGGTTGAAACTTGGTGTACCATGGTTTTTTGGGATAAGCTATCGAATGGTGCATTGCGAAGTAAAATCGGTTCAAGGGCATTTTTGACCATCTTATCCTGCTATACCCTTTAAACATGTGAACATTTTGAACAAGTTTTTCCTACACACATAACCGCCGCTCGGCCTTAGTTTTCGAGATATTTTCGAAAAACTGGCGAAACTAACATATTGGATTCTGGCCATACGTGTGTGTCCGTGACAACGTACGCATTAGTATGGGATCGCTGCTTTTCTACTGTTTTTGCAGGCAGCAACACGGCGACCGACATCAATATATACTGAGCAACAAAATTAGCGCAACATACATTTTTATCAAAATTTCACTCAAATTTAAATAATCATAACTCCGCGAAAAATGACTGTATCAGATAAATTTGTTTTTTATCTTAAAGCTCGAAGTCTCCACTTTCAACAGAATTTGTCATATTTTGATTTTCTCCTTCCCCCTCCCCGCCATCTCCTTTAAAATGAGGTGATGTTTTGTTTTAAAAAGTTTACACACTTTGACGCGTTCCACGGGGTGCAATGAATTTTTCCCGCAAATTTCACAAAAATTGTCGCAGAGTATAAACTATTCTGCAGAAATTAAAAAAAAATTGAAGTCTCTACAATTTTTTTGGGCGGAGTTATGAGTGTTACAAGTGTGTGCGTGTGTGTGCGTGTCCGTGTGTATATGCGTGTGCGTCTGTATGTGCGTGTGTAACATTTAATAGTGTGTGTTCCCGCCTCGTCTTTGATTAACTTCCTCAAGACGTTCCTGCATATTGATTCAGGATCTTATTGCATCTTGAGGA